CCATAATAATCATATACATTGTATATTGACAAAATAAAAATTTAACGAAAAAAAAAAACTTAAAAAAAAAAAGAGTAATGTAGCCGTTATAATTTCAAAAGGCAATATACCTAATGTGCTTGAAATTACATCCTTTGCAACTACTTAAATTTATGATAACAAAGTTTAGATGTTAATTTTTTTTAATTGTGAGAAAATTTCAATTTAGATGTCAATTTTTTTTTAATTGTGAGGAATTTTTAAAAATTATTTTAGAGAGTCTATGAGAAAAAAACCTCAGAGTATACAATGATGCTGAAGGCACACACACTGCCTGTCTTCTAGAAATTCATAGTTTAACAGGAACATAAATGCACTGAAAATTCTAACTCAAGGATAATTTATGATTAGGATCTCTTATGATATACCATGAGAGGCACAAAAAAAGTGGCGTGAGGACCTACAGTTGAAAGAGATTTGTGACGAAATTAATTTTAAGATATCATAATAAATGTAGCAATATTTACTTTATCCCTTATTACATGCTAAACATTGTGCAAAACTCTTCATATACATTATTTCATTTAATCCCCACAACAGCCCTTTGAGGTAGGTTCTATTATTATCGCAACTTTATAAATGAGTCAAAAGACACTAAAATACTTAGCCAAGATCACAACACTCATTAATAGTGGTGCTAGGATTCAAATCCAGGACTTCCGACATCTGGGAAACAATGCCTTATGTTTGTCACACGTTGATTCTTTTAAGAGGCAACTTTATAAATGAGTCAAAAGACACTAAAATACTTAGCCAAGATCACAACACTCATTAATAGTGGTGCTAGGATTCAAATACAGGACTTCCGACATCTGGGAAACAATGCCTTATGTTTGTCACACGTTGATTCTTTTAAGAGTTGTTAATACATGACTGTCTGGCATTATCCTTTCAACAGCTGTTTTAGGTAGCAAGGTAGGTATCAGTATTGTATTTTTATAAATATTAAAACTGAAGTTCACAGAGGATCAAGACTCACCTATGATGGCTCGGCTGGCGAGTGTAATTCTCGAACACTGAGCCTTTCCACTCTGAAAGGTCCAGAGACAGCACGGCCCCTGAATGCCTCTGTCCTGCACTTCTGGACTGTGCCTGGCAGCCCTCTTCTTTCCAGACCCTGCTCAGATCTCCCCCGGGGCTCCAATTTCCATCTTAATTCCACTTGATCTCAGTTCACACTGTATTCATTTCCACTTACTAGTGGCTATCTGCAAGTGTGCTGTAAGCCTGTCCCCACAATCTGTGTGCTCTTTGAGGTCAGGGACCATGCTACCTCCTCCCTCAGGATTTCCATGCAGGGTGCAGTCCAGGGTTCTGCTTTGGGGGCACTTCGGAATAGTGATGGACAGACACATTTAATGTGGAGCAGGAGAAAGAGCTCAGCTCTGACCATCTCCACCTCCTTGAACTGTGGAAGAAGTCACCTATCCCTAGAAATCCTTACTGAGCCTGGATTTGTTACTCTCTCATCACTGGCTCAACTTGGAGGGAGACACAGTCTCTGGTTCCACACACACTCAATTATTCTTTTTGAAGGTAGAATTCAGCAGCACAGATATGCTTCAACATGAAATAAATTTTAAAAAATTAATTTTTGCTTAGCTTTAAAATTTGTTCTGGGATTGGTAAGGTATCTCACATTCTGGGAACTGCCATGAAAAACCTCACTGGAGAGGAACGACATTTGGGTTGTCCATCTGGTTTTGAGACAATTCTCTTGCCCCCATTCCTCTATTTCTAATGCTAGAAATTGAGCACACATTTCCTAGGCAATTTGGAGCACCACCCTGGGTAGATCTAGTCTCTTCCTAAGTGCCATTCTGCCTAGATGTGCCTCCCTACCTGATGAGAAAGGAAATAACAATGGTATCAGCAAAGCAACTAGGAAGGCAAAAATACTGGCTTCCAATTGAAACCCCATCTGCAGTTAGGCCCTCCAGTGGCATACTCTCTGCCTCCCACTCACCTCTTCTTGTAGTCCTCCACCAAATCCTGCATGCTCCTCAGCTCCGAGTCTAGCCTCACCCTGTCCCCAGACAGCGTGTCCAGCTGCCTCCGCAGGTTGCTGCTGTAGCCCTCATAAATGGCCTCCAGGCTGTTCCTGCAGTTGTTCAGGTCCAGCTGCTGCAGCAGGTTCCACTTTGTCTCCAACACCTGGTTCTGCTGCTCCAGGAACCGCACCTGGAACCCAAAGGTGGTCATGGCCCAGAGTCCCCAAGCTGCTGCCTCTCAAGAGTAAGGAGAGGGCCCCAGAAATCAGAAGCAGCCATCCTGGGATCCTGGGAGGAGACAGACAGGAAAGAGCAAGGCTCATCAGAGGGGAGATTCAGCCACGGGGACATGCTCATCTGGGTCTCCAAGACAAGAAATAAGATCCAGTCTAACAGAAATCGGGAAGCAGGCTTCAGCTGTGGTATTATCTGCCTCTGCTTCTGTGAGCTTTTATGTGACTGAGGTAGTTTCTCTAGCTATAAATGTTTTCTGAGAAAAGGGAAAAGGGATGCAGGAGAGAAGCAGTGACTGGAGAACGGCACTGAGAAGTCATTGTGGTGGTTAGGACGTTCTTTCTTTCGTGTAGTCTAAATTGCTCTTGGTTTTTGTTTCTTTGTTGTTCAAAGTGAGTTATCACGTCTTTATAAGGTTCCTTCATACTTGACCAAAGGTTTCACATGTTTGGACTAAATTTCATCAGGCTCTGCTACTCACCAGCATTCTCTCCTCACCTCTCTCTTAGCTTGAGGGACAGAAGGAAACATCCAGGGAGCAATAGGCTTAGGAGGAAGAGAATGACCTGTGTCCTCTAGACTAGTGGCTGTGTTTCTTCCACACATTCCCCCTTCCCTCCATCCCTCCTCTTCCCCCTCCCTAGCATGGTGGTGAGACACACAGTTCACCCTGACTATTCTGTCAGCTGGGGCTCATTGCTTAGCCTCCCCATGTCTCAGTTCCTCATATGCAAGGCAGAATAATAACAGAAGCATAGGTTGTGCATTGACAAGTGACAATCACTTGAGGCAGCACCAGGTGCTTAGGAATGGCTCGGTGTCAGCTATTGTTATTATTACGTCCCTTATCACTCCTGACCTAGACCTTCTGCCTCAGGTGGACACAAGAGAAGCCCGTTCCTAGTCTCCTCCCCAGTCACTGGGGTCACTGCCTCTGAATCTCCAGAGTCATCTTCTCTGTTACCCCAGTTTTTGGCCACACCCCAGATACATACATGTAACTTGTCCTGCCCTCCTTCCAAATTTTCCCTCAGACCCACCCTTCAATTTTCCGGCTGTTTTCTCTCACCTTCTCTAGAAACTTCCCTGGCTTGCACACCCACCCTGCTTCCTACCTTTCAAGCCCTTCCCCATTCACCAAGGACCATGCCCTGTGGCATTCCCTGGCCTGTGTCCCTTGAGGGTCCCTGTCTCGGATGTGTGTCCCCATCTCTTTGTCGGATAGTGGGAGCCCTCAAAGAACTCAATCCACTGGGTCTCCTGCTCTTGGGGCACCTCCTCCCTTCCTAGGGTCCCGTCCCCCACAAGGAAGGAATGAAGCTCTCCTTTATTGGAAATGTGCGCCAGGCATTATTCTAGGCACTTTACAAACATCCCAACTAATCCTTATTACAATCATCGTGCCCATTTTACAGATGAAGAAGGGGAGGCGCAGAGAAGCTATATATAACTGGCCCAAGTTCCCACGCGCTCACCAGTGGCAGAGCGGGTACCACTGTGTACGGGGAGTGCCAGTGCGGGGACAGGCAGATGCTCCGTGACCCACCTTGTCGATGAAGGAGGCAAACTTGTTGTTCAGCGCCTTGATCTGCTCCCGCTCCTGGGCACGCACTTTCTGGATCTCGGGGTCCAGCTCCACGTTGAGGGGGGCCAAGAGGCTCTTGTTAACGGTGACCTGAGGGATGCCCCCGGGGGGGCACACGGACGGACACGCGGGCCCCATCCCTGCGCTGCCGAAGACGGTGCCCACGAAGCCGCCCAGGCGGCCGCCGCCGCGCCCGGCCCCAGCGCTGAGCGCCAGGCGCCGGCCGCCCCCCAGGCTGAAGAGGCTCTTGCTCCCGAAGGCGGCCGAGCCC